TTGCTGCTGCCGCATCCCATGGCAGAGGACATGCAGGGAGCCAGGCACGATACCTTGGCTTGTGCGTTGGGAGAATAGGGCTGAGACTGTCATTTTGGGGTCGTTTAGAGGTTTGGGGTTGTTTAGAGGTCCGGACCTCTCGCGTGACCCCCTCCCCGGGAGGCTCTTCCTGGGGAGGGCAGTGCCAGGCACCCATCCAGCCGCTTGGTTTGGAGGGCAGTGTTTGGGCACTGTGTTTCCCAGCTCTCTCCGTGCTAGGGCCAAACTTCTGCGTTTGGCTTCTTAACCCACATTTAGTAGTGACCTTTTTTTTTTAGGATCTGAGTATTTATTTTGGGTTGTGAAACACCGACCTTGCCAGGCCGGGTGGCTGCAGCACCCACCGGCTCAGCCTGTGGTCCCTGGTCCTGGAGCAGGAGCTCGGCCCTCACCCGGCCCTGTGGGACAGCCTGGGATCCCGCCTGGCCTGGCATGGGCAGTGCCTGGGAAATGAATAACTGGGAAAGAGAAGGACGCGCTGCACAGGGCGGACAGAGGCAGCCGAATCATCCCCAGGAGCCACCCCTGGCCCTGGGGGTTTGCCCATAGGTTGGCCTGGTTTGGGAAGGGTTGGAGCAACCTCCAACCCTGGAGCGCTCCGGGCCGGGAAGAGGCAGCTCTGCAGGACGGCAGGAGCCGGGTCCGGCTCCCCCCCAGCGTCGAGGGCCCCGCTGCGGGAGCCCTGCCGTTCCGCCTTTCCCATCATCATCGCTGGCTCAATTAGGTCAGGAGCGAGGGAGGGGGGGCCGAGGAGCCCAATATACTGTGTTTTCGGATATTTTTAGTAGCCTAGACTGGCTCCACTCTCCTGCGCACGTGCTGCCCTGCAAGGAGGACGCTGCGCCGGGTCTCCTGCGGGGCTGCACGGGTCGGCATCGGGCGCGTCCTGCCCTGGCTCCGGCAGATTGCGCAGGGGCTGGAGCGGCGCTTTCCAGCTGGCGAGCTCCCGTCATCCCGGCTCTCTGCAGCTCTGCCAGGCCGGTGCCCCCGGGACTCGCCGTGCGGATCGGGGTCGCTCGCAGCGCGCGGGAGCATCTTGCGGGACACGTCCCGGGTGGCCCGTGCAGGGACTCGTGTCCCGCCGGCCGGCGCGCGCGGAGCGGGGCCCGTGCCGTGAGGTCAGAGCTGTGCAGCCGTGACATCACCTCGGGTTGCCATGGAAATGTCTCGCACGGGGAAGGTGTCATTGGAGGGAGGTCGGAGCAGGATGCCCGGCTCCTTCCCGTCCCAGTGGGGCGCAGG